AGAGGAGGGGGAAAGTCCCAGGAAGCCCAAGGCTCTAGCTTGCACTGGATCGCAATGGGGCTTAGGTAGGTATTGGGGAGCTAGGTGGGCTGCTGCATAAAATGCATGAAGATAAAAAAAACCTTGAGCCTTTACAACCACTTTAATCTCACTCTGAGAAAGCAGCCTACTTGCTCAGTGGTTCTGTACCTTTTTATCTGAGTTCTAAAGAGTTCTAAATCTGATCCTACAGAAATGTAGGCCAACTGTTTCTAGTTTCTGAACACTACAACCTGAAGTATTCTGAGAGGCTGCGCAGCAGAAGATCAAGCTGCTGTCTCACCCAAGACCAGTACTAAAATCCTGCTGAATTTGATTACCGTCAGTTACATAAAACCCAGCTTAAAGTTTAGGCATGTTTTCTGGATGACTAACAGCAACTCTGTGAGGCATGAATGAGAGTACGGACTAGTGAAATGTTACATCATTAGTACCTTTGACACACATAACACATCAATAACTGATTGAGCTTGAGCTTTCAGAACCTTAAAGAGTAACTCCACTTTGGTTGAGAAAAAACATTCCTCTGTAGTTATCAATGTACATTGCATGGATTTTAACAAAACCTACCTTTTGTTATTCAGAAGAGATAGCAGTTTGTCTGTGTCCACATGCACAGTGAACCTATATGGGAATGACGTCATATTATCAGTGAGCCACTGCACCTGCAGAGGCATGATTTCCCTTTGGCAGTATCTCACCAAAAATTAATTTTTGTTGCAGGGGATGCCAAAAATCAGATTTCTTGGAAAATCAGTGAGCCAATCACACAAGCCTTCAGGTAGCCATATTGAAATTTAGTTTACAGAAAATGACAGTGCTGCAGATTGAAAAGGAAAGGTCATTTTTAATAACGTTCAATCACATTATGACTTGTGTTGCATTTGTATATACTATATTAATTTTTATTTGCTATTTTTGTTCCCGCGAAAGTGGAGTTACCCTTTAAAGTAGAAAGTCAGATATTGTGGTAGGTGCTTTCAAACCTCATTAGGAAATATGTGTTTTTCACTAGTGACAATTCAAGCCTGTCTAAAGGAATGTTGAAGTCTAGACCTCTTACAGAACAAAAGACAAATGGTGAGAAGACCCACAAATTTATACCTTTGCATATTGAGCTCAATGACAAACAGGAAGCAATGCTAGATCACCTCAGTGGGGACACAGATAGGTCAAAAAATGTGACCTATTAAAATATTTTTAATGCTGTTTCCATTATTTGCTGTTTGTGATTTCTCCTTGTTTTTTGACTTTGTGACACTTCATCCAACAAAATAAAAAGAAAGCCTTTAAGAATGTGTAACTAAAGACTTGTATCTCCTCTTAAAAAAACTTTTGGCTCAACTCCAGGATCCAGGCTCCCCATTCCTCCCGGAAATCCCCCAGTGTGTATTTTATATTTCATTATTTTAGCTGGGTTTTTTTTGTTATACTTACCTGTCCCAGATGTCTTCAGACCAGTAACATGATCTCCACTTTCTTTTTTGTATTTTCTGTGCACCAGTAGGTGGTCCCCAATGATGCAGATAATAGCATTGACATGATACCATCAGCGCTGCTCTCTGTACCATTACACTGTGGGGTTGATTTACTAAAGTTGGAGTGTGCAAAATCTGGTGAAGCTGTGCATAGAAATCAATCAGCTTCCAGGTTTTATTGTCAAAGCTTAATTGAACAAGCTGAAGTTAGAAGCTGATTGGCTACCATGCACAGCTGCACCAGATTGTACACTCTCCAGGTTTAGTAAATCAACCCCTGTGTGTGCATGGCACCATGGGTCTATAACACTCTAAATAAAATTGTCTGAAGTTGGGTTTTAATTTGTTCTGTAAAGTGTCAATAAAGCCAATGGACTTTTTCAATAGAGGCTGCCAAATAAAAAATGCTGCCTCCATGTTCTTTTCTGTTACTACAAAACCAATTCAGTAAATACTAAATATCTGATAATTCTTCTAGTAGCTTGGACTTCTCATTCCTGCTGGAAATGCTCTGTGGGACAATCTTCACTCTGCAGCGCTGCAACCCTCCCGCACATGCTCAAGTTTTTTTACTTCCTGGCAGCCGTGATTACGCACAATATCCTGTTCCCCTCAGCTCCAGCATGTCCATATGACATATAACAGCATTAGGTCATTGTTCTACTTTACCTGAAAAATATTTGTGCAATAATTATTTTTGACAACTGCAAATGCTTCAATACACTCTTCATGGTGAAAGATGGCAATACACAGCAGCTTTAGGTGACCTATTACGCTGACTTACTGTATGTGCTGCTGTGACATGTATGGGTTTACTGACACATTAGAGAAGAGATGCTTACTGTAACATACAATCTGTTCATAAAAAAGATGTTCTAGATTGGCTAGATAGTATTTTTTTGTTAGAGGCTGGGTTGCAGCGGGGATGAGTCAGCCTGGAAGTGAGGCAGGAGTTCGCCTCAGGACAAGCTGGGAGGCTCTACAGGTCAGGGCTTCTGGAGCTCTCCCACCCTTCCAGAAACCTAGAGAACTTTCTGGAAGAGGGGTGGAGGAGGGGAAGAGGCCCAGATCTGCATGTTTGAGGGACCTTGGCCCATCTCCAGGCATGGGGTGGGGCATGGTAACTGAGACAACCCTTAAAAGTGGCAGAGCCTAAACAGCAGGGGGATCGGGTGGAAGATGGACTGAGAGGAAGGCTGGAGTGTGGAACCTGGGAGGGGAGCCTACCTACTTGCTGGTTGCTGGATAATAGGATCCCCACTGCCCAAAGTCTCCCAGGAAGGGCATCCTGAGCAGCAGGGAAGGAGCCAACCCAGTGAAAGACCTGAAAGTAGCTACCAAGCTGACAGGACAGGACAGTTCCCAACTAGTTCTCATCCAGGACTACTTAATTTCTAGATCTTGGAATCCCTTGCCCAGGGATACCCTGAGTGCAGCTGGGTGAAGAGGAGGATTCATCTGGGTTCTGAGGAGGTACACCAAGGGTAATTTAGAGCTCCTTAAAGAGACATTTCTACTTTTGCCGATTTACATTTTGTACAGTGTATAGGTTGCTAGTAAGTTTGTCCTCATGTTTGCAGCTCCTTGGGCATCCCATATACCCCTTTACCCCATCCAAGTTGTTAACCCCTTAATAAAAACAACTAAAAACCAGCTCAAGGACTGTTTACTGACTCTGAATGTGCAAGTGTGGAGAAATGCATGTTGCCTTGCTATGCAGATCTTAGGGGGACCCAAACAAATCCAGCGGCCCTCAAGAGGGTATTGCTACACGTTTCTTATACATTCTCCTGACATTGGCTGGACACATTTCAAATTTACACTGCTGAGATGGAAATTCATTGCATTTTTGAATGAAATTGCAATGATTGCCCATACCTCCCAACATCAGAAGCTGGGAAACAGGAACAACCTGGAAGGGAAAAAAACATAAATGTCAAAGCAAACAATTGGTGTGACTACATTGTATTAAACAGTGGGTATGGCCAAAAGGAACATGGGTACATATTGTTTCAGCCTACTTGCAGGACACACTGTACAAAATACTGAAAACCTGTACCACAACTGAGAGTTCCACAGACAAGGCTCTGATTTGGTGCTCATACCTGAACAAGCTGAAGTTAGAAGCTGATTGGCTACTATTCCAGTCTCTTTGATTGTAAGCTCCAAGGAGCAGGGCCCTCCTAAGCCTCTTGTATTGAACTGTATTGTTGCTGTATTGTATCCTGTTATATTGTAAAGTGCTGAGCAAACTGTTGGCACTATATAAATCCTGGATAATAATAATAATAATAATAAATGCACAGCTGCACCTGATTCTGAGTGCTTCAGTTTTAGTAATTCTCCCCCATAGTATCCCCGTTCCCTGAAGATGACCTCTAGGACTGGGTTGAACAGGAGTGTGGAGAGGGCAGGTGAAGCTAGCCACTGTTTTTATTCTTTTTTACTGGATGGGCTAATGGTGAACAGGAAATTTTAAATTAAGAAAAAAACCTTGAAGTTACACTTTAAAAACAAAAGATAATAATAATAATTTAATTTAATTTTCAGTGTGTAAATTGTATCCATTTTTACTGGCAAACCATCAAAATACCAGCCACCCTCTTTGAAACACAGAACATTGTATGTTGTACATACTTGTTGCATTGTTAAATTTAGTAGCTCAAATGTCATTCTCTTTAGAAACCTATAGATCAGCAGTCATTAAATGGCAGACCGTGGTCCGCGAACAGCCCCAGCAGCGTTGACGCACAGACCACCAGACCGCAATGAGAGATTTGCCGCTGAGCAGGGCGGTCATGACGGCAAAATGCTTCACGTGTGTGCCCCACCCCTTTCAGCTCACTGTCTCTCCGGCTCCCGTTCCGTGCCTGTACACAAACGTCCCAACACAGCTCCTGTCTACCCTCAAGGTAGGGTGCAGTCTTGCAGGGACACTCAAATGGGCACAACATAGAATGTGTCCATCAGAGTGCCCCTTAATATACCATGTGCCCATCAGAGTGCCCCTTAATATAAATGTGCCCATCAGAGTGCCCCTTAACATAAAATGTGCCCCATCAGCATGCCCCTTATTTTGTGTTAAGGGGCACTGTGATGGGCACATTTTATGTTAAGGGGCACTCTGATGGGCACATTTTATGTTAACGGGCTCTTTGATTAGCACATTTTTCTGTTAAGGGGCACACTGATGGGCACATTTTATGTTAAAGGGCACTCTGATGGGCACATTTTATGTTAAGGGACACTCTGATGGGCACATTTTATGTTAAGGGGCTCTCTGATGAGCACATTTTATGTTAGGGGCACTCTGATGGGCACATTTTATGTTAAGGGACACTCTGATGGGCACATTTTATGTTAAGGGGCTCTCTGATGAGCACATTTTTATATTAAGGGGCTCTCTGATGAGCAAATTTTATGTTAAGGGGTACTCTGATGGGCACATTTTATGTTAAGGGGGCACAAATGGGCGCATACTGTGGAAAGGGGCACTCTGATGGGCACATGTGATGGAAAGGGGCATTCTGATGGGGAATATGATGTTAAGGGGCAATCTGATGGGGAAATATGATAGAAAGGGCTACTTTGAGTGTAAGGGGTCACTCTGACAGGGAAATATGATAGAAAGGGGTACTTTGAGTGTAAGGGGGCACTCTGACGGGAATACCTGATGTAAGATGGCAATGTGATGGGGATACCTGATGTAAAGGAGCACTCTGATGGGCACACCTGATGTAATGGAAATACATGATGTAAAGTTGCACTCTGATGGCGACACCTAATGTAAGGGGGCACATTGATGGTCACACCCTATTTGGACCTTGGCCAGAAGAACATTTTAGTGACTGGACTTCCTTGAATTTTAATTCAATACCCCTGCTATAGATTATGAGATGGTTTGAATTTTAAAGTGGATCGAGTTGTAATATAGAAAACTGCCACCAGGGTACACTGTTCTACATCACATATTTCTATAGTCTTGAATGCATTTTGTCCTCCCCCTTGTGCTTAGATCTTTGAAAAGAATACACATTTTCTGCATGTTTGCACTCACTAGAAAGTACAGGGCTAGAAATAGCATCATAAACCCCCCCAAACATGTTTGCCTGAAAATGTGGATATATAGAGAAAAATATACCTGAATGAAAACAAAGCCCCTTTCCCCTTCTGGCTATGTATTATAATAACAATTTGCTAGGAAATAGTTAACTAATCCTTTATGCGAGGAACTGACTGCTGTGCTCTTCATAATAAATGATATTTTATGTCTGCACATCTTAGACAGCTGGTTGCTTATCATCCATAATCTGCCAGGTTTTCTGTTCTCTGCTGGCTGTGCATTAATGCTCCGCTACCTTATATGACATGCTGACCTACTTCTGCGGAGATCAGAACGGCTCATCCAACTTAAAGAAAGCCGCAGGGGGCCCAGATCGTACAGTATGTGAGAGGTGAAATGAGGTAACGGGGATTCTACTGCAAAACATTCATTGTGCAGCTTCTGTTCTCAATAGACTCATGACAGACACAATAATTCTATAGGCAGCCTATGGATTTGTTGGAAAAGCATGCTGTTTTCTCACATAAAGCTATTTCTGGTACACGCAAGCACATTACAAGAACTCAAGAAATGTTAATAATTTTCTCTGGAATGAGACATATTTATTGTGGTTCAAAAACACACCTACATTTAAAAGAAGCCGTTATGGACAGCGGTCTGTACAGTCTATCAGAAAAATAGTCCTTCAGGTTTATAATTTGGTGCCTGATTGTCAAAGGGAGATAAAGGGACTAAAAATGTACAAATATTTGTTACAGAGCATAAAGAGATGGTAAACACCCTGGGCCCACTTTAGTCTATGTGGTTGAGTCGGGGTGGACTGACAACTCCTGGGGCCCCCGGGCAATAGGAAATCATGGGGCCTCTGTGTCCTCGCCCACACTCAAACCACACCCTGAAAAGCCTATGAAAGGTACCAGGGGCATCTCATGGGGCCCCCTACTGACCCCGGGCCCTCGGGCACTGCCTGAGTGGCTAAATGGTCAGTCTGCCCCTGGGTTGGGTGCAATCCTAGATTGTAAGCTCTAATGAGCAGGGCCCTCTGTTTCCTCTTGTACCAAATTGTATTGTAACTGTAATGTCTACCTTCATTTTGTAAAGCGCTGCGCAAACTGTTGGCACTATATAAATCCTGTATAATAATAATAATACTTTCCACAATTTAACCACATTTTTTATTTTTAACCCATTTTTTTTCAATTTCAAACAACTGCTTTGGTGAAATTTGTTTTTTTTTTTAATTTGGGGGGTGGGAGGAGATATATGGGGTAGTTTTGTTTTTGATTAATTTAGTGTTTTTGTTTTTCTCGTTTTTTGTGTGTTGTAATTTCTTTGTGTGAAAGAAAACAAAACAATGAGGTTAATGTGGGATTGTTTTTTGGCAGAATGGCTCCAGGATAGTTGAAGGGAGCTTCTGTAACCATTTGGAGCCTTTAAATGCATATTGCACCTTTAACCAAAATGATTGCAGGTTGTCAAAATGTTGCCTTTTACCCCCTATACGAAGCAGGCAAATTATTCTGGGTAAAACTCAGCTGAAGACAGAAAAGCAAACATGCAAAACAGAGCAAGATGCATTTTGGGTTCCATTGGGGGGGCATTTACTAAGTCTGGTGCACCCAGAATCTGGTGCAGCTATGCATGGTAGACAGTCAGCTTCTAACTTTAGCTTGTTCAGCTTTGACAATAAAATCTGGAAGTGGATTGGTTCCTATGCAGTGCTGCACCAGATTTTGCATGTTCCAGTTTTAGTAAATCTCCCCATTGTGTCTACGTGAATGGCCTTTGCAGTCATTCTAGTTGTCAATAAAACAAACTACGGTAGTTACAATGCAGAACATAAAGCCTCAGGATCCATGCCAATAGGTAGACCTGATGAGGTACAAATAGATCCTATAAATGTTCCTTGGGCCGCAGCAGGATACATGTAGTGGTAGCTGGACATTTCTGTTTGTTCTTAGCCCAAATTTAACTGAAGAATAAGATGAAATTGTAAGTATTAGGCCACTGTAACTGTGCAGAAGAACACAAGGTGTAGCATTCTGCAGCACAAGCCAGCGTGCTGACCACTGTTCTGACCTACTATTAAACCCTAGGCTCATTTGCAGAGATAAATCAAATCTTCTTATGCAAAGAGATAATTGTATCTAATTTACTGTGTAATGTGTTCTCTTCAAATATCCAATCAGGAGCATAAAAATTTAAACATTTACGTTCTCCTTCACATGATTGGATACTGAACACTGGTGAATTTCATGAGCTTCAATGCACTTTTGCTGGCTTCACACTTTAGTAAACCAAGCCCTATGTTTCAGAAAAAAATCTAAGTCAAAATATAGTAGGGATATTACTTCAAAGAAGATGTATGGTCCATAGAAACTCATTAGTCTTCTATTGCAGGCTGATAAATGAAAGTATACCATTGTTGTTTGCTTGGATTGTGATTCTTTCTGTCTTTTTTTCCTAAATGGAAAATTTTAATATATGCAACATACACCAGTGGAAGCACCAAGGAGCCCATAGCAGTCAATCAGATTTCAGATGATTGATTCTAATCACTAAAAGGGTCATTCAGATTGGTTGCTGTGGGGAGCGCCATTGTAACTGAAAAATAATTCAATATAGGACATATAATGGAAAATTAATCCATTTTAATATTGGACATACTTAGCACTCCTAGGCCAAGGTTTCTTTTTTACCACTCAATTCCCCTCTTTATCTGTGAATGAATTTTTCTGGGCTTTGAGGTGGATATTATAATGCAGAAATGTGCTATATGAAAGTGTTATTCTACATACTCTGTATATAGGTACCATGGATTATACTGATAGAAAATGTACCATCGGTGACCACTAGAATTGCTAGTTTCTCAGAGACAAATGCTGGCCCTATGGTCTTTTTTGTGTTAATAACTTTAAAAGCAAGTTCCATTTTTTTTCTGGCTCGGGAGAAATCCTAGTGAACACCCTTTGCACTTTTCTCTATGTGGGGCACATAATAAGTATAAAGAAATAGACCAAGAGAATTGGCCATAAATCTGTATATACGGTAATTCATTAAGTATCCAAAATTAATTAAAAAACTGCAGAGGAGAAATGTCCAAATGCCATGTCCAATATAAATAGCAAGTAATCAGAGTCCACCTTGTACTTGTCTAACTTTAGCAAAGTTCATTCTGGTTGGATAATATAGTTTACTGAACTTTGCATGTAATGCTTTTCTCCCTATTGCTTATTGAAAAAGGTAAAAGGTGGTATTTGCTTTGTTTTTGCATGTGGACATTTATAATTTAAAAATGTAAATACTATGTAGTGCTATGGCCACTAGATTTATACAGTACGTGTTGTTGCCAACTTCAAAGGCTACAACAGACAACAACATGAAGACAGCTGACAAAAGGTGCTCTGAGCCCTCTTTATGAAGAAACTGCTTAGTGTACAATGAGTCTCTTTTAAGTGATATATATATCAACTTGGTTGGTAGATCATTCTTACATTTTGTTTTTATGATAAAATAATAGTACATCCTGTCCTAATTTCCCTATTTCCCAGAGGAAGGTATATGAATTTTGCTATGCCTATGTCCAACCAAACTCCTGTATTGCATGGTTTTTAAAGTGTTACTAAACCCATAACAGTAAAATCAGTCTGTATATGCAGTAAAGCATGCTTGTTATACACACTGTGGGACCTCAGAGGTTAATCCTCTGCACTGTGTAAAAAGGCTGTTTGATTCTTTCTTCTTTGCCCCTCCTCTTGTTGAAATAACCACCTGATACAGATTGAATCTGTAGTCACATGCACATGCTCAGTTTGGTGTGTATTGCTAGAGGGTTTTTTTTTGTTGTTGTTGGGAGAGTGCATGTGATCAGCACAGGGCCAATCAGCACTGTCTAGACAGAGAGACAGAGGTTTCACATCCCCCTAGAGCAGAAAGAAAACCCCTACATGCTTTAACCAGTGCTCTGCTGAAGTCACAAGACTGCTCTAACTGCTGATGAGAAAAGGTATTTAGCAGTTTATATTTACTAAAATAATTGCATTTCCATGTTCTGTGTACTGTGGGAGATCAGATATAGTGAATGCAGGGTCCGGGGTTTAGTAACACTTTAAGTGTTCAATAATGGGAATAATATATCTAGTAAATGTTTCCAGGTTAATATTGCACCATAGTATATTGCTGTTTTTATGTTAGAAGAAAATAAAGAGTTTCCAAAGTCCTGAATTATGTCCGTGACTATGTATTTTACAGCTGAGTGGGTTCCTGTGAGATTAGAAAAAAAAGTACACCTGGTTTATAGTTTGGCTTTTGGCACCTGCACAGTTCAGAAATCTATTTTCAATGTGCTGTAGCAGATTTCCTCTTGTTGGGAACTTTGGTGTAATAAAGCACATTTTACCAGCTGTGTGTCTGTTTGTTCTAATACCAGGTGGCACTGCCTTGCCATACGCAGATCGTTCTATTTTTAACATTTCCCTTGATTACTGTTCTGACTCTCTAATCGTGTTCTGCACAGAGCCGCTCTAACCCCATTATTTGAGAAGCGTGATCTTATCTCATGCTAGTTTAATTTGATATTTAAAATATCTTGCACTTGCCATAAATTGGGCTGTCAGCATATACAGGCCAGCCTAGTCAGCATGCGATTGTGTACTGATATGTAAAAGTCATCATGTCTCTATTGCTCTTCCTCCCAGGAGGTGAGGTGAAGGATTTTCGGTATTGTAACATTTAAAGGGAATCTGCCACAAAACTA